AGAGCTGGCTGGAGCTGGGGGTGCAGTGGGGCATGAAGACCCCACCGGTCAGCAGGGGCTTTCTCAGCTGGGGTTGGGACAGGGAGGCACTGCTTACTCTTGTTTCTTTCTCTCTCTTGTTCATGTAAAATAAAATTTTTTGCCATTGGGCACATGTGCTTGCTGGAGACAGAGAGGGAAAGTGAGAAATCACCCCCTATGGGGGATGGCCATGCTGCAATCCCTTCTCTTCTCTCCTCCTCTCAGGATTTTGGGCCTGCATGCACGCACACCCAGCATGATTTTCAAGCTGCCATGTCCAGGATTTGAACTGTGGTGAGCCATGTGGGAGTCCAGCATCTTAACTACCATGCTACCTGCTGGCCCCCTAAATAAATACACTTTTAAAAAGATGAGATCAGGGGACCAGCAGTTAGCGTAATGGCTATGTCGCTGGACTCTCACGTAGTCGACTGCGGTTTGCGTCCTGAACCCGGTGGCTTAAAACACGCCGGGCACGTGTGCATGCATGCCCAAGATCCCGAGAGGAGACTGGAGGAGAAGGGATTGCGGCGTGGCCATCCCCCCTGGAGGGTGATTTCTCGCTTTCTGTCTCTCTGTCTCTCTCTGTCTGGAGAGTGCACGCGCCCTATAGCAAAAACCTCTCCAAAAAAAAAAAGAAAAGATGAGATCAGGACACAGACCTGTGAGGACAGGGAGGAGATGCGAGTACGAGCCAGGGAGAGAGGCCTCAGATGGAGCCACCATGTGGCACCTCGACCTTGGGCCTCCAGCCTCAGAGCTGTGAGACAGTGAGCAAGCGCCCGCTGTCTGGGCAGCCTGGTCTGTGGAGCTCCTCACAGCAGCTCCCGTCTGCTCCTGGCTTCCTGAAGGTGCCAGGCCCTGTGCTGGGAGCCCAAGCTCTGGTGTGGCTCCGGGCCTGGCACCACGTTGAGATGTGGAAGAAGGGCGGCACATGAGAGTCCAGAGTCTTCCCAGAAACCTCAGATCAGAGAACGACTGTGGTGGGATGCTGAGTCAGGTGTTGACCTCACAGTGCTATAGTGACACAGGGCCCACCCCTGCCTGACTCAGGGACCTGGTGTGGAAGGGGGCTCCCCCCCGATCAGCAACCCCACAGACCTCCAGCCCTGAGAGCAGGCCCGTGGGACCCACAGAAACGCCCATTGAACAACAACTGAGCTCGGCAAGCAGGCAGTGCTCAGACCTTGGTCTTAGCCTTCTTTTTGAAGGACCAGGTCCTCCCCAAAGTAGGCAGTTTAGACTATTTCCAAGCAATTTAAATGCCCCCAGAATAAAGATCAAGACCTACAGGAATGCTAAAACATGCAGCTCCCAACAAGGTAAAATGTGTGATGTCTGCGGCCAGCCAGGTTGGTGCAGTGGTCAAGGTGGCTGGATCCCACAAGGCTGACTGCCCAGTTCAAGTCCCAGTCAGGGCAAGTTAAGTCTTTTGAGACACACTAGGTGAGACCAGCAGTTGGCGTAATGGCTATGTCGCTGGACTTCCCATGTAGTCGACTGCGGTTCGAATCCCGGACCCGGTGGCTTAAACTCACATCAGACATGTGTGCGTGCGTGCCCAAGATCCCAAGAGGAGAATGGAAAAGGGATTGCGGCGTGGCCATCCCCCTGGGGGGTGATTTCTCGCTTTCTATCTGTCTGTCTCTGTCTGTCTGGTGAGCGCATGCGCCCTATAGCAAAAACCTCTCAAAACAAAATAAAACAAAACTGTAGTGTGATGTAACCATTCTTCACGGTGGGGATGCTTTCTCACTCCTCTCTCTCTCTCTTGCTTTCTCTGGTGACTATATATGCTCTCTGGCAAATTTAAAAAATATTTTTAAAAATCCAAAAAATTAAAAACGTGCCAGCAGGTGGTACGGTGGTTAAGGCAGGTGTGGTTAACTGCCAACTTGTGCAGTTCAGCAGTTTGAGTCCTGGCCCTGAAGGCTTTAAAGACATGCATGGCACATATGTGCTCCAAATCCTGAGAAGAGAGTGGAAAAGGGCTTGTGGCATGGCCATCTCTCCTTAGGGGTGATTTCTAACTTTCTCTCTCTCCCTCCTCCCTACTCTCTCCAGTGAGCACACATGCCCTATAGCAAAAACTAAAATAAATAAATTTAAAAAAAGCATGTCAGTTGAGATGTGGGACAAATTCAGCTGACCAAATATAAGTGTATTTATAGTCCCTGAAAGAGAAGAGGGGGAGGAACAGCAAAAATATTTGAAGAAACTGGCCAAAATGTTTCCAAATTTGATAAAATGTATAAAGCAGCCAAGCAGCTTAACAAACATCAAGCATAAGAAAATGCAAAGCCATGTCATCATTAAGTTGCTCAAAACCAGAGACAGAAAATTCTAAAAGCAGGGGTGGGAGCAATATGTACAAAGAACAATAGCACATGTCTTTCTCATGGGAAAAATGTAAGGGAGGAGGCAATGAGACCACATCTACAAAGCACTCGTGAAACCAGCTGAGGACTGAGAATACAAAAGTTCCTCTAGAATCAAAGTAAAACAGAGTTGTAAGGAATTCACACCAGCAAAACCACCAGCAAGAAATGTTAAAGAAATCCTTCAGCGAAGCACAGCAACCGTGAGGGTGGCCAGGGCCTGGGTCCGTGTGCCACAGGAGGGGCAATGGTTGATAACACGCGAAACCCAACCGTGCATGAGTGCAGAGGCAAGTGTCCCCACACCCAGCAGCCACGTCCAGATCTCATGCACGCACCCCCAAAATCAATGACAGGCTGATTATGCCTGGGGACAGGGCCATGGCCGTACCCTTGGCTAATGCACTGGTGCTGCCGGAGTGGCAACCTCAAGTGGGGGCACGCATCAGCAACGGACCCAGGGCTTCCCACCCAGCCCACATCTCCCGTCCTGAAATTCATGAGCCCAAGGGGACCCAGGTCCCTGCCTCTTCTCCCCTTTCTGGAAGTGTGACAGACTCACACAAACTCTTGATCAGGGACACCCCAAGCATGGTAGGGAGAGCCCTGGTCTTACCTGGCTCCAACGACAGGCTCGCGGGCATCCTTGGAGGCTGAATAGTCCATGCCATAGAAGTTAAGCCCCAGGAGGATCTTGCTTCGCCACTTGGACTTGGGGTCTAGGACCTGGACACAGGCTCTAACCCAGGACAGTGGTGCGTTAGGACCAGGCCTGCGGGGGAGAAGAAAGGGAGCATGTTTCGGTGGCAAGGAGGAAGCCCTGCACCTAACTCAGTCATTCAGCACAGGATCCAGAACCAGAAACGATCCTTTGTAAAGGGCCATTGGCAAAACAGACTAGCCCCCCTGCACCTTCTGCTGAGACCTACGGGAGCCTCACACCCAGGGCAGGAGACTATGCAGTATCCCCAGCCTGAGTGCTAAAAGGGTCGGCAGACATGTGGCCTTCTGCTGCAGATGGCTCTTTGAGAGCAGCTTGCTCAGTAGCCTGAAGACAGAGGTGGTGGTATGACCATGCCTGTTTTCCTGATGACGCAGCTCTACCCAAGCCTGGGGCCCTGCCCACAGGACCACGTTCCACTTTCTCTGGAGCAGGGACAAGCACAGCACCCCCAGCTTCCAGGGTGTCCAAGCCAGGAGGAAGTGACCGCACTGAGCCAGAGCCCACGGGCAGGAGGACATCTGCCTGGAGGCCGGGGTGCAGGCCTGCATCTTCATGGGGCCCACACGCCCTGCGAGCAACCAGCCCACTCACTGCTGCGCTGAGGAGTAGTCGTAGGTCATGAGGCTGAAGCCATCCAGAACGGGGGCCAGCTGTTCAAACTCCTTGTGCGTGAACATGCCCAGCTGGTCCGACCTGCAACGAGACGGCATGGCTGCCTCAGACCGTCAGGTACAGCCTGGCTGGGGTCAGCGCTGGCTGTGGGGGCTCCGGCCCATACCTCCCCACCTTCCCTAGGGATAGGGACAGCTAGCAGCAGGGCTGAGACTGCCAGTGGAGAGCTAAGCAGAAGCTCTCCCCTCCTCGCCGGTGCAGGTGGCCTGCCGTCAGGTACAGCCTGGCTGGGGTCAGCGCTGGCTGTGGGGGCTCCGGCCCATACCTCCCCACCTTCCCTAGGGATAGGGACAGCTAGCAGCAGGGCTGAGACTGCCAGTGGAGAGCTAAGCAGCTCTCCCCTCCTCGCCGGTGCGGGTGGCCTGAGGCAGAACGGACAGTGAGCCGTGCAGGGAACTCTGTAACTCAGCCCAGCTCCAGGGTGGTCCCATGGAGTGATCACATGTGGGCCTGGCCAGCCTCACAGAGGCCCTGATGCCAGCAGGCCCCAAGGAACACCAGGCACTCACCCTTCTCCCTAGGGCCTCAGGCCTCTGTAAGTGCAACCCACTTTGCTCCACAGCTGGCAGCAGCTCCAATCCTGAAAGGCCCAGGGCAGCCCATCTGCTCCACCCACAGAGGCATCAAAAACTCAGCCACGGTCTCTGGGGGCTCTCTGCGTGCCCCACCCCACAGTGAGAGTGGAGACAGAACCCCTCTTCTCAGTTGAGAACACTGAGCTCAGCATTCCCGGGTACACTGGGACCAGGCTGGCCAATGTCTCAAGGACTCCTGAGCCCAGATTCCCCTGCAGGGGTCTCAGATAGGGTCAACCCTGAGTGCCAGGATGGGCTCAGCGAGTGGCATGGCGGATAGCACTTGAGTGATCTGAGAGGTCTCATCTTTTCACTTTTCAGAGATGTCTGCTATAGGGCAAATGTGCTTGCTGGAGACAGAGAGACAGAGTGAGAGACAGCGAGAAATCACCCCCCAGGGGGGATGGCCACGCCGCAATCCCTTCTCCTCCATTCTCCTCTCGGGATCTTGGGCACGCACGCACACGCGCCCGGCGTGAGTTTTAAGCCACCGGGTCTGGGACGTGAACCGCGGTCGACCACGTGGGAGTCCAGCGACATAGCCATTACGCTAACTGCTGGTTCCCCCAAGGTGTCCCATCTTAAGGCAGTCTCAGTCCAGAGCAGAGCCTGCTCAGGGAGCTGCCTTCGAGGACCTGGGGCCGCCAGGTTAAAGGGACTTCATGACCCCAGACCTTTTACAGGCAGGCGTGGCCACAGCAGGGAGATGGACGGACATGTCTGGAGAGCAGCTGCTCTGGGCAGCGACAGCCACGCTCCCTGGGGGGCCTCACCACCCTAGCAGGTGACACAGGCGTCCCCACCCCCATAGACAAAGACAAGCTGCAGCAGGCTGGGCAGGCTCCCTGGAACTCTCTAGGTCTCAGCCCCAGGGGAGCCATGTCGCAAAGACTCACCTGTCCCCAGGTGGAACACGCACTCAGGGACCCATCAATGTCCACTGCTCCTACCCCTGCCCAGGCACTGCCGTTTCTGGATTTGGTGGCTGAGGCAAGGCAGGGACCTTAAGCGGCCAGCTCACGGTGGCCAGCAAAGGGGCAGCCCCTCCCAGTCCCATCTTTCAGCACCAAAGCACCAGGGGCTTGTAGGTGGCTAGAAAAGGAGAGAGACAGCTTTGCGGGAGCCCCTAGGAGGTTCTGGCAGCATAGGCACCCCGCTCTGATGGTGTGGCCGGCCAGTAACCAGCCCAAAACAGCTACACAGCACCAGGAACTGCACAGGAGACTCCGCGGCATGGGGTGCTAGGATCCGGGAAGCCCGGCCGCCTCGGGAGGGCCTCTCCGGTGCAGAGCTCCAGTTCAGTTGTTGAGGAGCAGCAGCAGACCTCACTGTTCTGGACAGAATATCACAGACAACAGACACTCTTGTGATGGCCGAGGGTGAGGGGGTGGGGTTTTTAGGAGGCCCCTCTGCCCTTAACCCTGCACGTGGAGTGTGGACAGTGGGGCAGCAATGAGCAAAGTTTCATAGCTGAAGGTGCTTGCTACTGCCTGACGCCCCACCTGGAACCGCATCTCCGACAGACAGGCCTGGGCGCTGGCGCTGGCGCCACAGCCCACGCCTCGGACATGGAGCCTGGCCTCAGGGCAAAGTACCACAGGGCAGGGCCTGAGGGAAAAGGGGCAGTCACTCCCCACTCCTGTCTATCAGATCTTCAGTTCTGGAGGTGTCCGGGGGTGTCCGGGTCCTGATGCCCAGAGCAGGCCCATCTCCAGGAAGGGCAGCAGTGGCTATGCCCCTTCTCCAGGACACAGCACGGTCTGCCCAGCCTGGCCTCTGTCTACCCCAGGCCAGCCAGCGCCTGCGCTTCCCCTGCCTGATGCCTGCACCACCCTCTCCACCAGCAGCTCTGTACATAGCGCACTCGACAGCCAGACACGCAGTCTCTAGGACACGGAACGGCCCTGGGGACGATGAACAGGGCCAACGGTCTTAGGGAGACACTGGATGTTGGGAAGGTGAGCAGGTGTCTCAGTCAACCTGGAGTGCTGTTAACACAATAAACTGGATGGCTTATCAATCAGCTGTTTGTTTATTTATTATAAAGAATTATTTTTATTTATTATTTTTATTTTAGAATAAGAGACAGAGAAAGTGAGAAAGCAAGTCACCAGGTTCAGGACTTGAACCATGGTCAGCCACGTGGGAGTCCAGCACCTTAACCACCATGCCATCTGCTGGCCCCCCGGTGAGCACCTGCTTCCTGGTGTGTAGATGGAGCCTCCTCGTGGCCTCACGTGGGAAGGGTGACGGCGCTATATTG